ACAGATTTCCAGAAAAATTGATTCAATTTCTGCCGAAATATAGTTGTTTATTGTGTCAATATTGTAATGGTCCATTTGAGAGAGTTAGTCGTGTTTAACTTTGTCCGTTAACGATAAAGGCTTTTTAATAATGCAGCCGAAAATGCCTGCAATGCAGTTGTTAGGTGAAAAATCTTGAATCCTGGGACTTGTAAATGAATTAAGCTCATCTAGCGCAGATATTTTTTCAATGTTTTCAAAACTGACTTGATTCGTTATTATAATCTATTGGAAGATGCACACATGCCTACGAGATGTTAATTTCACATTTAGCAGCATCATCAAAAGATGTATAGAGGCTTTTGGCAAATAATGACAGTTTGGTGTTTAATTCATTGCTCTATGAAAGCATCAATGCATGATCATTTCTTTTGAACATTTGAAGAAAAGTGTGAAAATTGGTTTTTAGAATTTTGCTTTCAAAATAATTTCTCATTAAAAAGATATGAAATTTTAAAAATTGATTGAAATATCAAATTTACGCTAAATAAATCAGACTTTTTTAAATGGACAAAATTTTTAAATTCATGTTCTTTTTCTGTTTCAATGATTAATGTTCATCTTTTATCGAAATTATCTTTGTAACTTAACTCTTCAAAACACAAATGTTTTAGATCATTTCTGGCAATAATTTTCTAAATATTTTTGAATTTGTATAATGAATAATTATTGATATGCTTTTATAATACTGAAATTTTGCTTTTGCTTAGAAAATGTATGAGCCTGATTGCTTTGTTTATTCAGGTTCATGAGGTCAGGAAGTAAATTGTTAGCCTAGCTGACATTGAATTATGCTTTTGTTCAGAGTTTGGTCGTAAATTGAAGGCATAAATTACCTGTGTTGATCTTGATGTTTGTAAGTTTGGCAGGAAATTGTCATCCCGACTTGTGTTGATCTTGATGTTTGTAAGTTTGGCAGGAAATTGTCATCCCGACTTGTGTTGATCTTGATGTTTGTAAGTTTGGCAGGAAATTGTCAGCCCGACTTGTGTTGATCTTGATGTTTGTAAGTTTGGCAGGAAATTGTCAGCCCGACTTGTGTTGATCTTGATGTTTGTAAGTTTGGCAGGAAATTGTCATCCTGACTTGTGTTGATCTTGGTGTTTGTAAGTTTGGCAGGAAATTGTCATCCCGACTTGTGTTGATCTTGATGTTTGTAAGTTTGGCAGGAAATTGTCATCCCGACTTGTGTTGATCTTGGTGTTTGTAAGTTTGGCAGGAAATTGTCATCCCGACTTGTGTTGATCTTGATGTTTGTAAGTTTGGCAGGAAATTGTCATCCCGACTTGTGTTGATCTTGGTGTTTGTAAGTTTGGCAGGAAATTGTCATCCCGACTTGTGTTGATCTTGATGTTTGTAAGTTTGGCAGGAAATTGTCATCCCGACTTGTGTTGATCTTGGTGTTTGTAAGTTTGGCAGGAAATTGTCATCCCGACTTGTGTTGATCTTGGTGTTTGTAAGTTTGACAGGAAATTGTCATCCCGACTTGTGTTGATCTTGGTGTTTGTAAGTTTGGCAGGAAATTGTCATCCCGACTTGTGTTGATCTTGGTGTTTGTAAGTTTGGCAGGAAATTGTCATCCCGACTTGTGTTGATCTTGATGTTTGTAAGTTTGACAGGAAATTGTCATCCCGACTTGTGTTGATCTTGATGTTTGTAAGTTGTACATGAAATTGTCATCCCGACTTGTGTTGATCTTGGTGTTTGTAAGTTTGGCAGGAAATTGTCATCCCGACTTGTGTTGATCTTGATGTTTGTAAGTTTGGCAGGAAATTGTCATCCCGACTTGTGTTGATCTTGGTGTTTGTAAGTTTGGCAGGAAATTGTCATCCCGACTTGTGTTGATCTTGATGTTTGTAAGTTTGGCAGGAAATTGTCATCCCGACTTGTGTTGATCTTGGTGTTTGTAAGTTTGGCAGGAAATTGTCATCCCGAGTTGTGTTGCCTTGATGTTTGTAAGTTGTACATGAAATTGTCATCCTGACTTGTGTTGATCTTGATGTTTGTAAGTTTGACAGGAAATTGTCATCCCGACTTGTGTTGATCTTGGTGTTTGTAAGTTTGACAGGAAATTGTCATCCCGACTTGCGTTTATCTTGATGTTTGTAAGTTGTACAGGAAAATGTTATCATGACTAATGTGTTGATTTTTAATGTTTTGAGGTACAGTAATAACTTGTCCTAAATCTTATTTATTTTCATGTTTTGAAGTAGTAAATGGTTGTCCATGCTCTAGTTGACTCGGCTGTTTTTGAGGTTGGGTTGTAAATCGTTTGCAGACAGCCATTCACTGGCTGTCGTTATTGATGTGTTACAATGTTTGCCATGATAAGGTCGTCCATCTGCAGGAGCTTACCCTACTAATCTTCACTATAGTTTATTTACCATCAATATAATCGATGAAATAGTTTTATGTTGGTAGTATAGACAAGTCACTTTATGTGAGCTCTGCTGACTTGTTTCCAATGCATTACCAATGCTGGCGAAAGCATGGAGGCTGAATGCTGGCACAAGTCGTCTGCTTTTAATCTGCGGGAACATGGACCTTTTACATCATTCAATGTAAATATTAAACAGCGTTTTGACTTATGATCGGACCTGAAGCAACCATTGACATTAATGACGATTTATTCTGTGGGTTTAATGAAATTTTCAACGATTTTCGCCAATGAAAGTCTGCTGCATGGTTGATTACGCCCTGAATTGCTGGGGAACCAATTCATTTGGTGTTGGTGATGGAGAGACTGGTTCGTCTTGGTACTGACAGCGGCCCCTAGGGACGACTGTACTAATTGAAAAACAAAATTGGCAGGGCAGTGCATGTTTAACTTGGCAGAGGTTTTCTAGAGAAAAAATAATTTGTCTGTTACTTTTGTCAGATTACAAAGATGTTAAAACAAAACACGTATTTGGCTGTAGTGGTGACGGCAAACAGATTGTTCTCACTTCGACAAAAGTTGAGAGATCTGCTGTATGATTGGTCAGAGGTAGTCTCCCTTGGAAGTACACAGTGTTGAGAGATTCCTATCAAAATGATTGGTTTAGTGAAACTGACATGCGGAAAATTGAAGAAATTAGCTGTAAGATAAAACGAAATTCAGTTTCAATCTGTGCCTCATGTAAAACCGGAATGCTTTATAAATCAGACAGTCTACAGTTAGGTACAGAGATTTGAAGCAAGATGCTTATATGTAGACAATTGTATTGTGACATTTATACATGTGTTAAAACATTTTAAGATCAAGATTCTAGTAAGTCTGATGGTACTTACAATTTAGAATCTGTTGCACTAGATACAGGATACAAATTATTGACTATTTGTATGAATATACATTACCATTCATCTGAGTTTTCACAAAAGTACAAAATTGGACCTTAATGTCAATTGTTTACACTATAAATAGATGTCAGTGGTTCCAAACAGCCGTAACTGTTAATTGTGACAGCTTCTGTCCTGTAGGTGTTTGGCACCGATGGATTTGTCAGTGTTGTCAGTATAGATGCCCATTTCTATAGCCCCCAGACCTCCCATTTTAGCCGAGTTTTGGTTGGCACAGGCGGCCATCGTTAGAAGGAGACAGACTGTCAGTCAAGAAGGTGTTGTTACTCCCCTCCTGCCTCATCAGAGAGCTATACCCCCTCCTCCCTCTTTGCCACTGACCCCCCTCCTCTTTTCTTCTCACCAGTGGAGCCCACCATTAGGTCTCACACTCTGTAGCATCAATCTAGAAATAAATTGAGTAACGTTCATTTGTCTATTCATGCTACAGACGTTACTGAGTCTTCTGAGAATTATCTTCTCTAATTAGATTTTCCTTCTCAGTCAATCAAAGTTTATACACACTTCTCCTGGTCTCTTGACCGGTGACTGTTTTAATACCCAGAACAACCACATCTTTGTGTCAATGTTACAATTCTCCGGAGTCTCTCAAGTGCTACAGAAAAACCACATCTCAGATACGAGCAGCTTTTCACTAATCCCCTATTGCCTTTTCGAAACAGCAACGCCATCTTTCTTCATTTGTCAACTATTCCTTCCCCAGAGCAGTGTATTAGCAGAGATGTGGCTTAGAAAAATAGGCGAACAGGGTGAGAAAGCCACGGCAATGGTCCGCGGCTGTCATTGTCATATGGATAGCTGTAGATCTTAGCTTGATGATCAAGTCAGAATAATTTTGATTGTGACACGCAAATTAAAACTGTCTGTTGACAGTTCCATGAAGCTTTAATTATAGCATTTTTTTCCCTTCTTCACTGAAGAGTTCCCTGTAATTATAATTACAGGGGGAAAATAGAATGAGGATTAACTGATTAGTGAGGGTGGAGACACACTTGGAGAGGGGTGTGGGTGGGGTGTGTTTGTCTAGTTTGGCTTGCATCCATATCAGCAAGTATATTCAACTTTCATATTTGTAAATAAAAATTGTTTTGAACTGTGTCAAAATCTAAATCTGCAAAATTGTGTGCCAGTTTTCCATATCTGAATTGAATTGTAAACAACATAGTCGACCTAGTAAGAACACAGAACAAATAGAGTTTAAGTAATTTAGAATGTGTTTTTGAAATTCTCAAACACTGGTCGAAATAGACATATGTTTTTGTTTATTTAGTCTGAAACTTTGATGGATGGGATTTTGAAAAAGAAAAAAATTTTATGGTGCATGTTGTTTCAAGTGAAGGGGCAGTTATTGGGTTTGAAATAGGGTAATGGTAATGTTTCAACTGTTAGACTTTCCATTGTTTTGAAATAAAGGCTAATTGTCAAGAAATAAAATTCAACAGATAGCGTGACCTGTCCATATGGAGATTTTGCATGCTCCAATGTTAAAATTGTTGTAGGTCCTTTTAAAGCATGTAAATATATTAAGATATATTGTCTGATATCTTTTTTGTGTTTCAAATCATACATACCTTTTGTATGGAGAATTTACTTACATGTGTGTATATTTTTCAATATTTCAGGACCCGCCCTCTTCTGTGTCACTTGGTCTACGTATGGAAGAGATGATATTCAACTTAGCGGATACACATCTATTTTTCAATGATTTAGAGGTAAGATGATGATGATGATGATGATGATGATGATGATGAAGAAGACAACTTGTATTGAAAGAATTTTGTGAGCTTTATGCTTTCAAATGGTTTAAGTTTCAATGAATTCATTTTTAAGATATTTAAGAGATTTAAAATTTTAGATAATATTTGTTTGACATGCCACTTAATGCCAAAATTACCCTGTGGTGGCCTCTACTTAAACATCCACAAAATCCTATGTGTTCAAAAATTCAGATTAACATTTATCAGCTGATCTTTATATGGGGTTCCAATGGGATTACTGATTGAAGTTAATACATTGATCAAATTGTGGGGTCCCAAGGGGGCTGTCATTTTGTAGGATGTAAATACTATCAAGGAGATCTGGCAAGCATAAATTCAATTTCAATTAATTATACAAACAGTCCCTGCTGGAACCCCTGTTAATGTAATTGAACCAATCAAGTCTAATAAAGTGTTATATATGACACGAAACTAGTTTGATAAGAAATCTACCAATAACTATGATATGTTAATGGACAGCTTGTCCACTGTGGTCACTCCCACTGGTCAAGTCCAAACCAGGCCAAATTCCCAGCTGGTCGGTTTTTGGCAGTCTAACAAGAGAGTGACCTATGGTCAGAATTATTTAATGAGAAACATAGGGTTCTATGTCCAAATTGAGTTAAGGCTGGGCATGTCTTTGGAGACTGAACACTTACTGACCATTGTGGCAGGACCGAGCTTGACCACTGCTTGTCCTCCCCAATGGTCAGTGTCAAACTCAACCAGAAAATTGAATTGGAAAAGTGTCAAAACTGCAGGCATGTTTTATGTAAATTTTACTTGTATTACATGAAATCTTCTCCTGTTGAAAGATTTGAAAACAAAAAATATAGCCATATTTGATATCAGACTTTCATCTGTTTTAGTCTTCAAACATTGATAATTGAATTTTGATTAAAATTATGAAAACATTAAAAAATTTCCCCTTTCATCTTTCACTTAAACTTAATAATCAAATGAGGACTGGTGTTTTTTGTTTCGTTTTAGCTTAACCATTATCACAGAATGGTTTCAATTATTCTATGTATCCATGAGAAAACAATATATATATTTTGATTTATTTTGATAGGTTTATCACAGATCAGCTAACAATATCAGTAAATACGAGTTAATAAAATAACCAACAAAACCAAATTTAGAAACAGGAAGTTTCAGATGTTATAAAAAAAATTAAAAAAAAAAAATTTAAGCTGACACTACTTTGAATACACAATACATCACACTATGTTTATTTTCATATTTTTGATGAAAATATTTAATTCAACACTTGATTACAAGTAGAATGTCATTGTTTTTTTCACCATAAAACCATTTATCAGATCTGCATTCCATAAAAGTTTTGTTGAAGTAAATCATTTGAAATATATAAGACATATTTCTTGGACCCCTGCTACGAAGACCCGTTCAGTTTCTTTCAAACCTGTTTTCATTGTAAAATTGGATATTGACTGAATGGAAAGACAACATGTTTTTACTGGTCTGCTATTTCAAACAGTTACTATTTGATTTCCGATTTAAAAAAATACTTAAGCCCAAGCTGTTTTTACGTGACATTTTTTTGCCAATCAGTCATCTTGTAAGTACGTATCTGTTTTAAAAGTGGCCATTGTGTTTTTTTGATCAGTCCCTTTCAGAAGCATGATAATTATTTCTTTTGTAAAGAGTGTGGGAGGGGGGAAAAAGATATGTGTCCTTTGAAAAAGGCATTTTAACTTTTCAAGGAGGGGGAAATTCCTGTGATAATTGTGTGATTACTGAAATCTCTGGGACCTTCTATAGAGTTTGAGATGCCAAGACGCCTTCACTCGAAATCATTAAAATATTTAAATTCCCCAATGTCTTTTTCACAACAGAGTGTCTGCCCCTACATCACAAGAGAGGCACAGTGAACGTCGTGTTATTAAAGAATTAGTGGGTAAATTTGTAATGTTTGTGCAGGGACACTGCCTCTGGGCCTCCTGAGCTCCCCCCTATCCTACAATAAATGGCCCGTGATCAACACCATCTCCTTGTTATGTTATTTCGCCTGCAGAAAAGTTTCCATTCGAATCCTGTTTAATTGTCTATGGTACGGTACTTTACATGTTAGTGAATCTGATCTGTTGCGATAGATTTGTGTGTACAAATTACTGTTTGACACGCTCGGATACTTTTCACTGGGTTTTAATACAATTTTATGAATTTATTTTTTGCTCATGAAATTTAGATAATTTGATGCTATTTTTTATTTCGGTGAAAAGATGGAAGTAAATTTATGGGTCATTTTATAAATTGTCTGCGAGACTTAAGAGCGATGATGAGGTTGATGGTATCTTGGATTTTAGATATATATCTGTATGATAGTAAGGTGTATGGTGGACCTTTAGTGTCCTTACCTCCGTACACAAAACAGGGCAAATTTGACACTTAATGTGAAGAATCTGACCGAATAAAGGCTGTCATTATAGACACAGGTGATGGTGGGGGAGCGGGGATTTGTGACAGCACAAGCAGATACATCTATACTGTATGATATTGGTGTTAAAATGCAGGATAGACTCTGGCTATTGACGGTTAACATATATTGGTAGGGCTGTCATTTTGTGACTCCATATATGAGAAAATTATTCTAGAATTTGTTTAACTGGGACCCCGATCTGACTTGAAACCTCTGTAAACCAGACTTCATTATGATAGGCAATTTTGTGAACAATTAAAAGTTTATGATGTGCCCATTTTCATAATCCAGCTACCTATGTAAACCTTCAGCTGGAACCCTCAATATGCTTTTACATATATTCCTTTGCAATGTAGACACATGTTTGAACTAATCTTTTGAGTTTTAGACAATTCAGTCTGTATTTCTCTGTATAATCTGGACACCTATTTTCACTGTATTGATTTCTCAATAAACCTGCATAAACTAGACACTATGAACAAAACCTTGAAGAAGGGAGCTTATGTTGTCACTGGGCCTCGCAGTAAGCGTTCATTTCTAAATATCTAGTTTTTGGTGTATGTGTTCAAAGGCATCAGTAAACTCCTATGTAAGTGTACTAGGGCACTGAGCATTGGTTCAACGGTTTCTCTGACTGTAATTATTATTTCCTGGAGTCTTTATAAATGATTTTTGAAAAAAACAGGTTTTCTTGTGGTTTTTTTTTTCAAACATTTTAGACTTTGATTATTTGTGCCAAATCTAACCTAATGTTATGTAAAGTTTTTGGTACCAGTGTTTAAAGACATTATTTCTTTTCAAAATGTCAGTGTATTGGGCTATAAATTCCAGTTGGTGAAACCACCCCCTAGTGTTAGTTTGAGATTTAGGATAAAAAATGTGGGACAAGCTTTTGTACTGTTGGCAGTTCTGTAAACCTGCATAAACTGTACATCTGTATAAACCAGACCTTCAAATAAGGCCCACTGAATTAATTTTTCTGTAAACTTGTATAATCTAGACACCTGCAAATAAAATTCCATTCATTTTTTTTCTTCATTAAGGTGAATACCCTCTCTAAACTGAATTTTGCATAATTCAGAAACCTGGGTCATCTGGTTGAACCCTTTAACAGAATTTTACATATATATTTTTCTATCCTTTTCAGTGATTTTGGTCACCGTTGTTTGGAATACAAATAAGATCTTTTGTGCTTATCTAAGGCTTAAAAAATTAAAGAATAGTACAAAATAGGTCAAAATGTTGATGAGACAGTTTTGTGATTTATAAACGACAAATGACATTTAATTAATTTCTCAATGAAGAATTTATTTCTTATATTGCACAAAAGATGGCCGATTCAAGTCATAAACAAATTAAATTTAAAGCCAGATTACAATGACAACAATCTCAAAAGTTTACACAGAAAAGGCCGCAGGACATGAGCTGAATTTTTAATATGTTGAGGAAAAAAATCACAATACAGAGAAACCAGCTTAGAGGTGTTGTTTAAGGTGGACTGTTTTTTTGTGGCAATATTTTGATGTTATTTTTCATAAATCAAATTTAAGTTCTTTTTTTCCAAGCAGATGGATTTTCTCATGTCCATTTAATAGTGTTTTTAAAAAGATTTTATTTTAAAACAGTGTTGGGAATTATTCAAATGGTATGAATTTTAAATTAAAACTTTTTTTATCATGTTCTTATTTTTGTATGTAAATTTTTTTTTGAAGGAGTGTGACCAAGTCCATATAGACGATGTATCTTCTGACGACAACGGCCAGGACCTAAGGTGAGTGACTGTAATGATAGGCACCATTCATTATCCCATACAATGATGGCAGACCCATGGAATGCTTCGCTGACTAGCTTCACCGCTAACAAATAAATGTCAGGTTTTATGTGAAGAAGATAGAGAAACTTGTCTTTTCTCTGAATATTAATCATTTTTCACCAAATTTTGTTTACACTGGTGAAAGAAAGAAAAAAGGACAGACATTGAGAAAATGAAAGAATAATAGATTTTATAGATTAGTTTGTAGGTTTGGCAGTATTACCGGTATAAATGGAAAATGTCAGCACACCGCGACTGCCATCGGTGCAGGCTGGTGTATGATGGATTGTCGTACCCCGCGGCCCAGAAGGACTCATTATTACAAGAATAGCCACCCTGATAGGAGACCGTCACCGACAGGGCTTTTTAGCTCTTCCGTTAAAGTTGTTTCCCTAGATGGCTATTAAAAACGAAGATCTACATTAAATAGATATATATATCTCTTGTCTGGTCTCTGTCCTTAATGCCAAGTTCATTCTCCAGTTCATTCTAAAATTCATTTTTTTATATTTTTTTTTAAAGATTGTTTGCTGCGATAGTTTCATTTGAAACTCACAGAAATTTTTAAAATCACAAGGTACCTTTCATCTCATCCTGTCAATAAGTCGAAAAGTTGATGTTTAGAAGCAAACATTTTTTAGACAATTATAATTTAGATGTCATTTTGCCTTCAAAACACATTTCTAAATGTATTGTTTACTTTCATTTTTGTTTCGTTGTTCGTTTTAACCTTAGAAAACCAAGATATGCTTATTTCTCTCTGCAAGTCAAATTTAAAACCAGAAAACCAGAGATAGTTAAAGATGCAAAACAAACAACGTAGTAGAAAATACTGCTTGGTTTGATAATTCAACCTATTTGATTAACATCTTCGGAAAACATAATTCTTTAAAATGAAAATGGACTTTAATTTCACTGATGATGTAGAATTCAGGTAGATAAATCATCACTGAAAGATATGGGTAGAAATCTTTGTTATCTAGAAAACTGGTTTTACTTAGGGAAACTGTTCCTGGTGCTACGTAGAAAGTTAAAAAAAAACTCAATTCTTCTCTCTTTTTTTAAAGATTTTTGTTGCGTTTAGCAAGTGTAATTCATGGTGTTTTTTTGATATGTAGAAACAAGGAGTGGGCTAATTATTGGTTTAGCGGTGATGGCTCTAGTCGTACAATGCTTTGCCCCCTCCCTCCCACCCCTAACCACCCTTCTTTTGTTGATAAGACAACACTACCTGACTGACTGGCTTTGTGAGTGCGGAGCAGGCTGAGATGGAAGCTTGCATACTTTAGCGTAGACATTCAACTCATACATCATGCCACTACAGAATATAGTACCCAAAGTCGGATGTAGACAACATTTTTCCCCTCGCCTGAACAGCACTGGGCAATTATGATTAATTCTTTCACAAGTTTCTTATACACCCTATGTGAACACTTCAAACGATCGCAGGCAGTGGTTGATAACCTCAGGTCGGACTCGAGACTGATAAGCAGACTTAGCGTTCCAAAATGTCTTGCTTTTTATGGCTTTTCTTTTGTGGAATTTTTACAGGTTTAGATGGAAGCAGGTTTTAGCCAGATGTTGTAATCTTAACTAATATTTTTTATTTCTTTTTTATCTGTTTTTATCCTTCACAAGTTCCCCCTCAGAATTTGTTGGATATTTTGTGGTTTATTTGAGGGGCGGAGTTCCATCAGTGAAATAGACATTGACGGACATGTAATGATGTTTGTACTCAATTTTAAGGACAGTCAACCCGATATTGACTGATATACAAAATGTATTCACCTTTACATACTTTCAACAAATTGACTTTTGACCTGTATAATTACTCTGATAACCAGGACATAATTATGAAACTGTTATAAGGAATGAACAAACATGACATTTTTAGTGTTAGCAATCAACAAGCATGACATATTGTGGAGGATATGACGTCACAACATTTTGATGTCACATTGGACACCCTAGATATGTCATCAAAATGCTATGATTGAAGACTTTAGTAAGTTTGATCAGACTTTTATAAGTTGTAGAGGACATCAGATAAAATTAGATTTCCTGTTAGATTGATCTTCGTAAACTTTTCGCTTTTTCTACAAAAAAAATAAATAAAAAAAACTTACAGATATGTCATTGATTCTGATGTGAGGTTTTTTTATTGAAACTTTGTAAGAAAAAAAAATAATAAGAATTAAAAAAATCATGTTTTAGGAAATGAAAATAGTGTTTTTCACATGTAATTAGAAGATATTTAATATCAATGTTGAGAATATTCCTAATTAAGTTTTCTAACTTCAAATGAAATCTTTATAATTAAGAGTGCATTAATTTAACTTTGTGACAACAATTATATAAAATCTGACAAAACCGTCCCCAACAATGATGTAGTAATATTGGATTACAAATAAAAGTCCTGCAAGGCCTTTTCCTTACTGTAATATTTTACAACTGAGTGTTTTTATACGACCGTGATTTCTGTCTAGGAATGAGGCTTTCATAATACAACTATCTTCGATAAACATCTCTTCTCTCTGTTCGTTGTTGTTTATTTTAAATGTTTGGTCTTTTATGCAACCTGGCTTTGTTGGAAACACTGTTTTGTCGATGCATTAGACAGATATGGTGACCATTATGTAGGTTGTCAAGGTCATTTAGTGGAGTATGTCATAGTACAAGATACTTGTCTACAATCCAGAAAATTCTAAATTTACTTCACTACTTGAGGGTACTTTCTTCCATGGTTTTGGGAATACAAGCCTTTCAAGTTTGACATTCACGAAATTATTTACAGAATTTATCTCTGCGTATAAAGGGTGAAAATTCTGCAAATACTTTGTGATAAATTCAGTAAATAATTTCCGTTTTTCAGACAGGTGAATGTTTGAATTTTCATTGTAATGCATTAATATCAACATACAAGTATTAAACAAAAAACTAATTGAGTTTCCCGTTTTCAGATTTTTTTTTTTCGTAATCTTAACAGAATTGTATATGAATGTGAAGTCAAAGTGAGGTTTTCTTTCCCTACAGTACCTACAACTTTGCAACAGATGGCTTCCGGGCCGCAGCAACCAACGCCAACTTGTGCCTGGCGACAGGCGTTAGGGGCGGCGTTGATTGGATGAGGAAACTTGCTTTTAGATATCGGAGGCTGAAGGAGATCTATAGTAGCTACCAAAATAACGTTGGAGGTACGATATGGTTGATTTGTTTTTCACCGATTTTCTCTCTCTCTCTTTCTCTGCAGCACGTACAACTTTGCGGCTGATGGGTTCCATGCGGCGGCTACGAACCCCAGTATACTAGCGGGGATGAGAGGGGGAGTGGATTGGATGAGAAAGCTAGCTTTTAGATACAGAAGGATAAAGGAAATGTATAATAGTTACAGAAATAACGTAGGAGGTACGATTCTTATTTCTAGATTACAATAGCATCCAATCAGATGTTACTATACTCATTTTTCTATCCAATCAGATCCCTCCATATTAGTAAACAAGTAGTACTTTTAAAATGAAAATTGATAACTTTTGATGAAAAATGTTAAGATTATTTCATGTTTTGATTTGCAGTTTGCAGGTTGTCATTAATGGGCTGTGAAACTTTTGTTATTTTGTGTTGACAGGTCTGATTGGTCCACAGAAACGGGAACAATGGTTGCAACTTCGCCAAGAGATTGAAGCAATGACAGACAACTGGCTTACACTGGCACTCAAATCACTACAAATCATCAACTCACGGTATGTTCTGTACAGAATCACAAAGAATCGTAAAGTCAGGATATTTGTCATTTAACAACCACACACATGTATCATGGGATTTTGCTCATCTCCAGAAAACGCCTCAATCTTAACTATGCTACCATCACAGATTTGGATAAAATTTGTCAGCTGGAAATAAGAAATGAAACTCTGTAAAAGGTCTTTTTACAGACTGACTTTATAAATATGTATATATATATATCAATATTGTCAGGAATATTATAGTAAGATGTTGAAGGGAAAATTTCAGAAGTGGTTATAGAGTATTGATTTTGTAACGTGTTTCAGGTCAAACTGTGTGAACGTGTTGGTGACCACTACCCAGTTAGTACCGGCGATGGCGAAAGTCCTTCTCTACGGACTTGGCGGAGTGTTCTCTATAGAAAACATATACAGTGCCACAAAGATAGGCAAGTCACTTTCTCTATTCTACCACAGCTTTCACACCAAAGTGCTTCATAAAAGTTTTTTTGTTTTCTTTATTGCTGATAATTATCGTGGGAATGAATGGTATTTTACTTATAGAATATGATGTTATATTGATACCAGTTTCTTGTGTAAGTTGTGTAAGCATGTGACCTATTATAAATAACAGTAATTAATTAACACATGTGCTATTTTCTACAGGTAAAGATAGCTGTTTTGACAGAATAGTAGCCCGATTTGGAAGGAAATGTACATATGTTGTTGTCGGTGATGGACGAGATGAGGAGCAGGCAGCTAAGCAGGTATGTAACAACACTGCATATTGGTCAATTCTAGTTTTGGAAAATAGTTATTGAATTAATTGAATAAGTGATTTAGTATTTATCACTTTTAAAAAAAGAAGATGTAATTTTTTTTTCAGCAGATTACGAAGGATTTTCCTCAGAAATTGATCATTCATTTGAAATAGGAATAATTTGTAGTAAAATTCTTCCATTTGGGACAGACATATTCAAATTTCAGTTCAAGATTTGTCTTGTACATATACACTCCATATTGAACAAATTTCACCCAAAGAATATTCATTCAGCAGGAAGCTCGAGGGGTTCAACATACAAAATCTTCCTCTACTGAACAGTAGATATAGGGGTGGGCTTATTATCAGACATGGGCTTATTGCTTGATTTAAAGGTGCAATATAAATGTACTGGATTGAAATGATGTTGATGACAATGTCGTAAATGTGGCTTTATTTTTGTTGCAGATGAATTTCCCATTCTGGCGAGTTAGTAATCATTCCGATATAGCAGCCCTTAATCACGCGCTGGAACTCAACTACCTCTAACGAAGGATTCAAATCTTAAGCCAGCATTATCATAGCCCAACCATGTCCTCAGCACTCATCATGTGTATGGACAGCTGGACAGATTCTGTTAAACTGTGAAAAACAAGCAGTTTGTGTACAGACAAATGGACATACTCTTGTTAAGACAGGCAGATGCGGATAGTTTGTACACAGACATAGACATGTTAAAATATGTATGGCAGGCAGTTTGTGTGCAGACAAACAGACAGACTTTCCTGTCAGTGTGGAAAGGGGTGACATATTTCAATGGAAAAAACGCACCCTCTGAAGCCTCTGTTGGAAAAAAATAAAAGAGACAAAAATAATTGTTTTTTTGAAGTTGTTGACGGAGTCTGTGGGAAAATTTTGGACCATTAGAAAATACCGCCTTGTTAATCCAAACCCATATCATGGATGCAGCGGAATTCTCTTTGCAGTCCCTGGCAAAGTCAACCGGGTGTAGCAACATTACTCTACCATGAATACTCAGGATGCAATGCCATATATGGCATTGGAATTGGGTAACTATAGTTTTATTGGATGTTTTTTCATGCTGTTTCGGATGTGCTACATTCGCTCCCTAGTGATATTACTGGTGCATGCTGGGACATGTTGACAGTTTGGTGCAGTGTGTTCATTCAGTGCAGACGCAATGAAGAGACTGGTTTTACACAGCCTTCGTTGGTCATGTGCCCTGTTTATTAACTAAGTCCAGAATATGTTGAACAAGGATTCACCAAAAGCAACACATTTATTAAACTGTGGGGGAAAAGGATGTGATTTGAACCACAGAAACTGTTTTATTATCGTGTGGATTTTAATCGTCTTTGCCTTGTAGAGGGCCTGTTCCAAGCCTCACTCCCAATAGAATACACCTTACAATAATGTGTACTGGATGTTTCATGGTGACCTGGTCCTGGTGCAACACTGCAAAAGGATACATTCGCTCAACAAGAGATTCCAAATCAAAACATAAGAATGACCCATCCACTATGTCGCAGTCTAATCAAGGGCCTGTACCTGCCTGAGGTTTCCTCCTTCCCCCTCTCCATTCCCCCGATCCTTGACCCACTCCATCAGCCATGACTCGTACTGGATAATGTGGAATGCGACATTGTTCATTGTTATCATGGACAAAAAGGACTGGTGACTTTATACAATTTTTTAGGGAAGAGGACATGACCAACTCACATATATAGATAGATATATATATTTAAATGTTGTGTCCTGAGGGTCAAACTACCAGACATGGTGCTTTACATCTCGCACATCATCTCCTGGTTATCAGAGTAACCTCCCCTTGTCATCACTTGGATATCTTCTTCCAGCTTTCAGAGTAATACTACTCCATGTCGTTTCCATGACATTTTTCGCTGGACATCAGACCTGCCATTGTCATCACTGCGACACCATCTACTGGTCGTCATAATTACTCGTCATTGCCAGGATGCCATGACATGCCCATGTCATCACCATGACATCATCCTATTGTCATGGCACATTCGTTATTCTCTGATCATGGATACAATATAATTATATCTCTCTTGATTGTGTACATGATTTTCTGGAGAACAGTTATTACGTTTACACATCGTTTACCCAACAGAAATCCATATCATGGTTGTTATGGTAATAGTTCGTATGTGCCTCTTGTTGGGAAAGGTGTACGATTGATTAATTCTTTTTTATGTTCAGAAGTGAGCTATTTCTGAAGAAAATGTGATGTATTTTGTGTACTTTATGTCAAATATAAAATTTGCTGTGAAATGTGTAGGTCATACCTAGAACAAGAAGTTCTACAAACACATGTATCCTCAGATTTATATTTTATTGAAAGGATTCCATTTTGTAAACCTCTTTTTAAAAAGATTTGTTTCTATAAATGTGAAAAATGGATCTATGATATTTAAACCAGAAATGTTACAAAGAATACAAGTACTCAATACATTTACAGCTAAATTATAATAGCTTTGCATTTAAAATTTCAAAAAGGAGAGATTTACATGTAACAATATTCTGTAATATGATGGTGTTTTCATTGACATTATGAAGGTAGTACCCAAAAAAATGGCAGCCATTTCAGTAGACATTTTCAGATTTCCATAACTTCTCTGTGTATAAAAAATGTTCTATACTTCATACTTAAAATCTTTTATCAGCCATTTCAGTACAGACATTTTCAGATTTCCGGAACTTCTCTGTGTATAAAAAATGTTCTATACTTCATACTTAAAATCTTTTATCTCAATGGTTTTAGAGCTTTAATAATTTTTTTATAACTAAAAAAGAAATGTTTTACTTATATAATCCTTAATATATTTTAAGTGTTTTTTTTTACTCAAAGCATCCGTCTGAGACCAAAGAATTTTAAATCAATTGAAGCATTCTCCTTGTATAAGGTATTTTTTTTTATGATTAAATGGCAGATTCTTTCGCAGGTCGCCAAGATGTTTATACACAGCACAAATGGTTGTTAACAAAGTCTCTAGTGACAGGAAATTTGACAATTGCAGATACTGCATGAAGAAAGATACGGAATTTTCTTAGAAATACAGCATATATATTTTTGGCTTATGACTTTGTATATGAATGAATTAAAGTATGTATATATTTAAGAAATACTTTTTTTTTTTTTTTTGAAAAAGAAGCATTTAAAGGAGAGAAGATACTGTTGAGAATCATTTTGACTATTGAAAGTATACTTAAGTTTACTTGAGATTTAATGGATATCTTTATTAGAAATATCTTGTTTACCAATTATGGTATTTTACCTTTCTGATAATTGTTTTGCATTCCCTTTCTGATAATTGTTGGAATTGATAGTTTTGGTAAATTTTAGAGTTTATTTGGAGTTTTCTTAAAGAAAATAATGGAATGCACCTTTGCCTATGTAGAAAAAATTGGTAAATTATCTCCATCTGTTATTTTTATAATAAATGGATATTTACATTTCAGATAAATATTAGAACTAATTATATAACCATTCTGATATATTGTGGAATTTCAATTTGTTGATGACATGAAGCAGTAATTTTGTTTTTGACATGATAACAATATACTTTGAAACAGGGATTTTTGTTTTACAACAATTTTTTTCTCAGTATTCAATGCACACGACAATCAAAAAAAAAGAGCTTTACGGGGATGGGGAAAACTTCTCAATGTACCTGACATCAAATTGTATAACAAATATCTTTGTTATTTAAGGAACTTTAATTTGTGTAGGTCTTTAAATAGCAACCAGTTGATAAGTCTGCTGAAAAGTTTACCACTCAAATTGTCAAATTCTGTCAGCAAAGTGAACTTCAAGTGTTGGTCAGAAATCTGTATCTATAAATAGATTGATTTTTTGAGTTTTACGAAATTGAAGAAAAAACTTTTTCTTTCTCCCCCTCCCCCTCCCAAATCAGCAGTCAATAATTGATATTAAATAACAAATGTAATTTCATGATATATTTAACTTTTTTTGTACATTGTTGACCAAACTTACCTAAATGAACTTTTGAACATTTATTTATTTGAATGGCATAACAATTGTCAAATGTTACATTTTGAATATTAAACTTCAAAACAGAATTTTAACAGAATTAAGATAACTTTCTAGAGTGTCTTTTGAAGAATAGGTCACAATTAGCCATCAATGTCAATTCTTTTATATAAAAAAAGCAAAGCTGGATTGATATTTCAACATCCAAAATATTTCATAAAATAGAGAACGCAAGGAAATAAAAATTAAATAATTAGATATTGATGTTTTCAGATTTTTCATCTGTTTGCTTATTGTATATGAATATAAGATTTTGTGTGATGAAATCAGCACACATATTTATAAGTGGTTTTGCACAAAAATAATATATTTATACATGTAATTCTGAATTATTGCAGTTGTCCAGACAACCATACTTCTGTTTGTTTTGTAAATGCCCTTTAATAGTCTTATCGACAGTATTTTCGTTACCGTATATTTCCTTTAATAAGCCCATGTCCTACTTTAATCTGTTATTTGTCTGTCCCGCCCTCCTTCCACTGCGATAACCAGGTTTTATTCATGACTGTACTTTCAGAATATATTGTTCTTCCATCAGTGCAGTACACCAAAATATAATAGGTCTATGTAGTACCAAATTTAACCTGGTTTTGGGAATGGGACACCCCAGGCTTATTACAGGTCTAGAACATTATATGTTCAAGGCTAAGGTTTGTGTGAAATTTTATATGAAGCCTAACCAAAGAAATTATTATAAATACTCTCACAGAAATATTGTGGCCAATTCTGGCTATACCTATTTAGTGGTTATTATTTTTTTCTGTTTTCAACTGTAAAATGTCAAATTTTTGTCTTACACATAATTTTCATTGTCCAATCAGATTTGAGATGTTTTTAATCATTAATGACAAAAAAAATATGCTTTTATTTCATGAATAAACAATATCATTGTAATACACTGTCTTTGATTGGTCAAATTTGTTTTCATTGGTCCAATGAAATCCCCTGTTCTATGGGGCTGGCCATCCATTGTTAAGTATGGTGTATATGTTGTAATGTATGAATGGTGTGTGTGTCTCATGGAGACACATATGTACTACAGTTATGTCACCAATAAAGACAGATGTATGAATGTGATTTCGTCTTTTTTCTTGTTCATTATACAAACACCTATCATATAGTCAAACCTGGTAAAGAGTCCATCTCTGAGGTCACCTGTGATAACAGCCATTGTTTTTTTCCCCGAATCCTGAATCCCCATATCTGTCATTTCCATAATGAAAGAACTTTAATGGCACAAAAATTGTAAGAGACCACTCTTAAAAGAAAATCTTTTTTATGGTACAGTTGGGTGATTGCAAAACCTTACATGGTGTGTGCCAATGTCTGTGTGATGTGCGCATGATAGGAAAATTGGATGAAATAAGTTGTCGCACATTTTTGCACATGTTGTGTAGTTCTATTGATATCAATTTAGAAAATGACTTCTAAATATATAAGAATACATCTAAGTATATTTCCTTATTAAGACAATATATAGGTTTGACACCTGTTTATATATCCGATACACATCGAATAGTGTAGATACATGTAATTTTTACTGTTTTGTTTACAAAGAGCCACACATGACCAACCTCAGCGTACGGACACAAATTATATTTGTAAACATTAAATTGACGTCTCCTTTTGTCTCGGCAATGAATCATCTAAAATCTCAAACGGTCAAAAGGGAAATTTTCATTACTTCTGTATTACTCTTATTTTTCATTCATTTTGTAAAAAAAATATTTATTCATGTAAAATGTGATTGTTATATGGGCGACCCAGCCGGTAGGGATCCTGACTTGTTGCGTATATACCAGTATACAGGTAATGCAGGTCCAGTGTTATTTTGAAAACAGTCAAAATAAAAATTACTTTTATAATCACAGATCAATCTTAATGTGCGTGTATTTGCTATTTAGAAATACCATCACAAATTTTTCGTTTAGTTTTTAATCCATAATATAAACTAACCATTTTTGAAAAATCACCCAAAATGTACAATTCTGTCACACAGTTGTGCGCATGATACTGTATCGTGCGTGTGTGTGCACCAAGATTTTTGTATGTGCGTTACCACTATTGTAATAATTTTCATGTTATTAAACCTGTATTAAGAGACCACCAGCAATTAAAGATCACTCTTTAGAAAACTTTCTCATCCTGAAATAGATATCTGCGACTGTATTACAACACCATCTGTTTTAAGGGACCACTATATGGAGTCCCCGACAGTGGTCTCTTTATACAAGTTTGATTGTGTATATTGAGACTGTTCATTAAATAAAACCTAATTTCAATGAGTACAAGATATTTTATTTCACAAAATGATAATACATGCACTGTACCAAAATCCTTTTATTGAAATGGAAAGCTAACACTGCACACCTAGAACAGGTCATAATTCACAGAAAGAAATCTTTATGTGTCCAAAATATCTTTCTATGAATAATAAAAAATCCCATCAATTAAAAATAAGTTACATTAAAGGTACATAATGTAGCACCATAAAATTTTGGTGCATTTGTCACTTACGTCAAGTTTGTGAAATGATGAATTAACGCATCAGTGATCATTTCTATATATTAACAATATTCATTCTGAAGAAGAAATATGATGGAAAAGAATATGGGATGTAGAATTGAAAAACATAAAATATTACACTGCAGAATCAACATACATGGCTGAGAATTAAAGATGGTAAATGCAGATGAACTGAAATGTCCAAAGTCACAAAAATTAGAGCCACCGTCAGTTACAAGTTTGTTGGTCGATTAGTGGGGTGCTGTATGTTTAGTAAAAATACCAAAATGTATTCAAGGCAATGAAATAAAAGATATTTGTGGAAGTACATACGTAGTTTCAATAACATACCCAATCACAACCAGTAAGAGGGCTATTTATTGGTCTAATTTTGCTTGGAAGTGTGAGGCTTCAAGAATTATTTTTATGATTTTCACCCCTGAAGTACAAAAATGGGGTTTGCTTTTAAATTATGGTTAGATATTACTTTACTATAACATTCAGTTGATGCAAGGGCTTACTTGTCGGTTCAGTTCAAATATTTCTCTGTACTTTATTGCACCCCAATATTTATGATGATTCTGTCCTCGTGCTTGACTTAACATTTAGAATATTACTTTTCTTGTGATTGGCCAAAAATTCAGAATATCTCTGTTTGAGTAATTAGTCATATCCACCTGACTGAATAAATAATAAGATTTATTTTCCTGTGATTGGCCCAACATTCAGGATATTTATCTTCTGATTGACCCAACATTCAGGACATTTATCTTCTCATGATTGGCCCAACATTCAGGATATTTATCTTCTGATTGGCCCAACATTCAGGATATCTATCTTCTGATTGGCTCAACATTCAGGATATATATCTTCTCATGATTGGCCCAACATTCAGGACATTTATCTCCTGATGATTGACTCAACATTCAGGATATTTATCTTCTCATGATTGACTCAACATTCAGGATATTTATCTTCTCATGATTGACTCAACATTCAGGATATTTATCGTCTGATTGACTCAACATTCAGGATATTTATCTCCTCGTGATTGACTCAACATTCAGGATATTTATCTTCTCATGATTGACTCAACATTCAGGATATTTATCGTCTCATGATTGACTCAACATTCAGGATATATATCTCCTCATGATTGACTCAACATTCAGGATATTTATCTCCTCATGATTGACTCAACATTCAGGATATTTATCTTCTCATGATTGACTCAACATTCAGGATATTTATCTTCTCATGATTGGCCCAACATTCAGGATATTTATCGTCTGATTGACTCAACATTCAGGATATTTATCTCCTCGTGATTGGCCCAACATTCAGGATATTTATCTCTTCGTGATTGGCCCAACATTCAGGATATTTATCTTCTCATGATTGGCCCAACATTCAGGATATTTATCTTCTCATGATTGGCCCAACATTCAGGATATTTATCTTCTCATGATTGGCCCAACATTCAGGATATTTATCTTCTCATGATTGGCCCAACATTCAGGATATTTATCTTCTCATGATTGGCCCAACATTCAGGATATTTATCTTCTCATGATTGGCCCAACATTCACATTTATCTTCTCATGATTGACTCAACATTCAGGATATTTATCTCCTCGTGATTGGCCCAACATTCAGGATATTTATCTTCTCATGATTGGCCCAACATTCAGGATATTTATCTTCTCATGATTGGCCCAACATTCAGGATATTTATCTTCTCATGATTGGCCCAACATTCAGGATATTTATCTTCTCATGATTGGCCCAACATTCAGGATATTTATCTTCTCATGATTGGCCCAACATTCAGGATATTTATCTTCTCATGATTGGCCCAACATTCAGGATATTTATCTTCTCATGATTGGCCCAACATTCAGGATATTTATCTTCTCATGATTGGCCCAACATTCAGGATATTTATCTTCTCATGATTGGCCCAACATTCAGGATATTTATCTTCTCATGATTGGCCCAACATTCAGGATATTTATCTTCTCATGATTGGCCCAACATTCAGGATATTTATCTTCTCATGATTGGCCCAACATTCAGGATATTTATCTTCTCATGATTGGCCCAACATTCAGGATATTTATCTCCTCATGATTTTGATTGGCCCAACATTCAGGATATTTATCTTCTCCTGATTGGCCCAACATTCAGGATATTTATCTTCTCATGATTGGCCCAACATTCAGGATATTTATCTTCTCATGATTGGCCCAACATTCAGGATATTTATCTTCTCATGATTGGCCCAACATTCAGGATATTTATCTTCTCATGATTGGCCCAACATTCAGGATATTTATCTCTCTCATGATTGGCCCAACATTCAGGATATTTATCATTCAGGATATTTATGATTGGCCCAACATTCAGGATATTTATCTTCTCATGATTGGCCCAACATTCAGGATATTTATCTTCTCATGATTGGCCCAACATTCAGGATATTTATCTTCTCATGATTGGCCCAACATTCAGGATATTTATCTTCTCATGATTGGCCCAACATTCAGGATATTTATCTTCTCATGATTGGCCCAACATTCAGGATATTTATCTTCTCATGATTGGCCCAACATTCAGGATATTTATCTTCTCATGATTGGCCCAACATTCAAGATATTTATCTTCTGATGATTGACTCAACATTCAAGATATTTATCTTCTCATGATTGGCCCAACATTCAGGATATTTATCTTCTCATGATTGGCCCAACATTCAGGATATTTATCTTCTCATGATTGGCCCAACATTCAGGATATTTATCTTCTCATGATTGGCCCAACATTCAGGATATTTATCTTCTCATGATTGGCCCAACATTCAGGATATTTATCTTCTCATGATTGGCCCAACATTCAGGATATTTATCTCCTCAACATTCAGGATATTTATCTTCTCATGATTGGCGCAACATTCAGGATATTTATCTCCTCATGATTGGCCCAACATTCAGGATATTTATCTTCTCATGATTGGCCCAACATTCAGGATATTTATCTTCTCATGATTGGCCCAACATTCAGGATATTTATCTTCTCATGATTGGCCCAACATTCAGGATATTTATCTTCTCATGATTGGCCCAACATTCAGGATATTTATCTTCTCATGATTGGCCCAACATTCAGGATATTTATCTTCTCATGATTGGCCCAACATTCAGGATATTTATCTTCTCATGATTGGCCCAACATTCAGGATATTTATCTTCTCATGATTGGCCCAACATTCAGGATATTTATCTTCTCATGATTGGCCCAACATTCAGGATATTTATCTTCTCATGATTGGCCCAACATTCAGGATATTTATCTTCTCATGATTGGCCCAACATTCAGGATATTTATCTTCTCATGATTGGCCCAACATTCAGGATATTTATCTTCTCATGATTGGCCCAACATTCAGGATATTTATCTTCTCATGATTGGCCCAACATTCAGGATATTTATCTTCTCATGATTGGCCCAACATTCAGGATATTTATCTCCTCATGATTGGCCCAACATTCAGGATATTTATCTTCTCATGATTG